CTTCCAACTCTTTGATTCTATGATTCTGTTATTCTAAGACCACTTAAAAATAGGATGAGTGCAATGCTAAATGCATATGGACTTTTGGGAAATGGCATTCATTACCATTTGGGAAAACCATTTGGAAAGGCATTGTGCTGGTACGGCTGTACCAGGAGCTCCAACTTCCTTTCCTTTCTTTGAGTGTTTGCATGTATTCCAAAGTTCCAAGCATTTTGCAATAAGTTGGCTTCCCTTGGTTTGCAGCCACCTGCCTATCATCGTTGGGTTTTTCAGTTCCGCCCCTTTCCCCAGGGTTCAGGAAGGAAAGGGAGCCATTTTAGCTCAGTCGTCGAATGCCAATCCCGCATTATCATGGGGTGCCTGCGCCCTACACCACTGGAGAAATTACACTGCTTAGCCAATATTGCACCCCCCGACATCCGCTGGGAAGTAGCAGCCAATAGTGAAAGGACCAAGGTAGAGACATCTCCAACCCATCCCTTGTTTGGGTATCAGCCAGCACGTCAACGACTTAATTCAAGAAATAGTTTTCTAAGATCTACAGAGACATTTGCTGGAACACCCCAGCAAGCGAGAGTCCAAAAGTGGCAGGCTCAAACCCAGAACCTCAATGAGAGACTCCCCCCTGGGCACTCAGAAGATGGGGCGACTTGGAAGGCACTGAACAGACTGCGCTCTGGCACCACGAGATGCAGAGCCAACCTCAAGAAATGGGGCCACAAAGTGGAATCCACGACATGCGAGTGTGGAGAAGAGCCAACCACTGACCACCTGTTGCAATGCACCCTGATCCCAGCCACATGCACAAGGGAGGACCTTCTTGCGGCAACACCAGAGGCACTCCAAGGGGCCAGATACTGGGCAAAGGACATTTAATAGAATAGCAAGCTTGCAAATTCTGTGTTATTTTTGTTTAATACAATTGTCTGGTTTCCCCTGACATGATTAAATAAATAAATAAATAAATAAATAATTAATAATTATTATTTATAGACTGCTCTATCTCACCAAAGGGACTCAAGCATCTCTCTGTTCTGAGAGTCTAACAGAGCCTCTGTCTTTCTAAAGCCTGCTGTTTCGATAGTCTTCTAAAAGCATACTGTTTCTGAAATGGAGTCTGAGTCTGAATAGACCCAGATCCGATCTGGGTCTATTCAGACTCAGACTTCATTTCCCAGTGTGGATGCAGCCTGAGATGACCCTGTTTTCCATCCCTTTCCAGGACGCCCAAAGAGGGGAACCCTGACGACACGGTGGTGGAGATGAAGACGGACAGACGGAACGAACAGACGGGGCTCCTGAGCCACGGAGGGGGAGGCGGTGGTGGTGGAGGCACCAACGAGGTGAGCAGGAAGAGGAGAGTTTACGGTCACTGAGGGATTCTGGGAGCTGTAGTCCTCAGGGCAAGCTTTGCCCACACTTTGGGACTACTTTCTGGGGAGTCTGTAGTGCCCGGATTTCACTTGTTGCAACATTGGCAGCTTTTGCACTGCCAGGGGTGCTTTGAATGCAATTGTCCCGCTTCTTGCCAGAATGGGGTTGGACTGGATGGCCCACCAGGTCTCTTCCAACTCTATGATTCTATGACTGTGAGAGCTGTTCAGCGGTGGAACTCTCTGCCTCAAAGTGTGGTGGAGGCTCCTTCTATGGAGGCTTTTAAATAGAGGCTGGATGGCCATCTGTTGGGGGTGATTTAAACACAATTTTCCTGCTTTTTGGCAGAATGGGGTTGGACTGGATGGCTCACCAGGTCTCTTCCAACTCTATGATGCTATGCTATGCCATCCTATAACTTGATTCCAAACAATGCTTCATCTGGCTACATTTTTCATGCTTGGGACTTTTATCCTATAAATCCCTCCTCAGCCATGGAAACGTATTATTATTATTATTATTATTATTATTATTATTATTATTATTATTGTCATCCTCATCATTAACATTGAAATTCCATCTCAACCATGGAAAATTATTATTATTATTATTATTATTATTATTATTATTATTGATGATGATGATGATGATGATGTCCTCTTCATTAACATTCAAATCCTTCTTCAGCCATGGAAATGTATTATTATTATTGTTGTTGTTGTTGTTGTTGATGATGATGATGTCCTCTTCATTAACATTCATATCCTTCTTCAGCCATGGAAATGTATTATTATTATTATTATTATTATTATTATTATTATTATTATTGTCATCGTCATTATTAACATTGAAATTTCATCTCAACCATGGAAATTTATTATTATTATTATTATTATTATTATTATTATTATTATTGATGATGATGATGATGATGATATCCTCTTCATTGACATTCAAATCCTTCTTCAGCCGTGGAAATGTATTATTATTTTACTGACACAAAAGCACAATATGTCACAGCAAATGTAATTTTTGTTTTTTGGCTTTTTAAGTCCCTTCTGCTGTGTTTTTCAGTGTTTTCAGTGTTTTTGTGAGTGATGGTCACTCGTTGGCCTGAGAGGTGTCTTGTGTCCAAATTTGGTCTCAATTCATCTAGTGGTTTTTGAGTTCTTTTAATCCCATAAACAAACATTACCTTTTTATTTATATAGATAATTAAAAAGCATCTAAGTAAAAGCACTTTAAAGGAATAGGTAAATCCAATTAGGTAAGAAGATAAGCATGAACATTATAATGTTTTTTTGGCTTTTTAAGTCTCTTCTGCTGTGTTTTTCAGTGGTTTAATGAGTGATGGTCTCTCGTTGGCCTGAGAGGTGTCTTGTGTCCAAATTTGGTGTCCATTCATCCAGTGGTTTTTGAGTTATGTTAATCCCACAAACGAACATTACCTTTTTATTTATATATGTAGATAAGTAAAAAGCATCTAAGTAAAAAGCACTTTAAAGGAATGGGAAAATCCAATTAGGTAGGAAGATAAGCATGATAATGTATTTTCTCTCTTTTTTTGGCTTTTTAAGTGTCTTCCGCTGTGTTTTTCAGTGTTTTTATGAGTGATGGTCACTTGTTGGCCTGAGAGGTGTCGTGTGTCCAAATTTGGTGTCCATTCATCCAGTGGTTTTTGAGTTCTGTTAATCCCACAAACGAACATTACCTTTTTATTTATATACGTAGATAAGTAAATAGCATCAAAGAAAAAAGCGCTTTAAAGGAATAAGTAAATCCAATTAGGCAAGAAGATAAGCATGAGCATTGTAATGTATTTTCTTTTTTTGGCTTTTTAAGTTTCTTCCACTGTGTTTTTGTGAGTGATGGTCACTTGTTGGCCTGAGAGGTGTCTTGTGTCCAAATTTGGTGTCCATTCATCCAGTGGTTTTTGAGTTTTGTTAATCCAACAAACGAACATTGCCTTTTTATTTATATAGATAAGTAAAAAGCATCTAAGTAAAAAAGCACTTT